CTCTCCCAGGATGGTTACAAAGGATGACTGCATATCAGCAGCGCCCAAAATCCATTGTCTTTGGTTCTACACGTATGGGCATCAGGGTTTATACAAGCCATACCAGAATCCCCATGAAGCAAGGTAGTAGAACCACGGGCTAAAATGAGCCAGTAGAGGTTTGGGGAACTGCATATATGATTCCATTCCGCTAATAAGCGTCTGCGACATAGACATGCATCTTTGTACTTGAATATGTTCTGTGGCAGCGAAAAGGCCGTTTGTCTCGCGGCCCCTGCCCACTGCAACCAAACAAAAACCCAAAGGCTGCGGTTTGAACCCCCCCTTTTTCATGCTGTGCAGGATTTCGTCCCTGCACCACCTAAGAAACCCTGGAATGATGATTCCCCTGTAAATACCAACAAACAATGGTTTCACATGGTTTCAAAGTGGTGCAGGATTTCGTCCATCCACAGCATGTTGTTGTCGAGAACGGAGAGAATGACAAGTTCCCCAAGTGAGATCCCAATTCTGGGAACACCCAATGTGCCCACAGTGAACGCTGTCGGGATCAACATGTACCACACCTTCAACGCAGAACACACGGCGTCACAGATCAGGCCTGAGAAGCAACAAACGAATGTCAACCCCGGAGTTGCCTCGCAATGAGATATGTCCCATTAAATGGAAGGATCCCCTCTTTATAGGAATTCGGTTTTTCTAATTCCTGGGCTCCCACGACTTGCTTTACTTGGCAACTCGCAAGCAGAGCTTGTCGACGCCCCCAAACCTCAAACAGGTTGCTCGATGTACATATCTTCGTCTGGGAACGTTTGGCACCCCGCAACAATGCGCGAACACTTGATGCTTCTCTGAAGACCTACCTGACATTTGCGTGCCGAAATAACTAGAACGGGGTTGGTGGGGGTTTTTTAAATCCAGATTAGGTCATGATCATAAGAGAAAACATGTCTGATTGGGCAAGCACCCAAACACAGGTGGTTTGATGGGTCCCCCATTGTTTCAGACTCACAGTGCAGGTCCTCTTCTTCTCCACTCAAATGGCGCTAGGCTGGCTAGCCATCAGAGCCCTGCTGACTTGAAGCTTGCTATGCACACTCAACATGCTAGCACAAGAGTCCATGCAGACATGGCCCCAATGACACCTAGCTGAACCCGCTAAGCCCAGACAGTGAGAAAGGACTTTATCAGCCTCGGCCAAGTGCCCGATCGCTGCAACCAAAAAAAAAAAAGAGTAACTAATCTACTGGTTAAAAAGGGGAAAGTGAAGGAAGGAAGGAAGGAAGGAAGGAAGGAAGGAAGGAAGGAAGGAAGGAAGGAAGGAAGGAAGCAAGGAAGGACACCCAACCCCAAAACCCCTCAACCTCCAACCCCGCCCCATCCTCCCCCCCCCAACCCCAACCCACCCATTCCCACTGCCATCCGAGCCCTCGGAGTACTCCCACTTGCAGCCACCCCATCCAACCCCATCCAACCCTTCCCCCCCCCCCCTACGGTCCTACACCCTCCCCCAACCCCCACCCTCCCTGCCCTTCAGCTCAAACACTCCTCGAGCTCGATGACCTTCACCGCCACTTCGCTGTTGGCGGCCGGGCCCAGGTTCACCCGCGCCTCGAGTTCGGTTCGACGGAAGAAAGGCGCCGCCCGACCAGAACCGGACAAAAAAAAACGTGCCCAAAAAATGGCACGAGAAATCTGGCCAGTATGACCTTTTGGGTGTTGTTCCTGCCTTGAGGGGGACCTTCAGGGGGAAAGGGCAAGGTCATGTTTGGAGGAAACGGAGGGCTCGCTTCACCCAGACTCGCTTGGCTTTTCAAACCATCCGACCCCAAGGCTTTTTCACCAATGGCTACTCCAGCCCAAGGGGTGGCAGGAGAATGGGTACTTGGAGTGGGAATCGGCGCGGGGAAAAATCGGCGAAAAGCTTCAGTTCGGGCCCTTGGGCAGGCCATGGGACCTAACGCAAGCCTCCAGAAACCCCAAATGGCCAGTTCCTCGCGGTTCCTCAAGTCTGACATTCACATTATGCTCGGGACTCAAAGGATGCGCGAAGGCTCGAAAGCACAAGATGAGGCACGCGCAAGAACCCGTCGACAGACATGGGATGAAACGAAGCCCCAGATGTCGTGGAGTGGTAACCATCCCCCAAAAAGGCACCTTAGGTGTTGACCCACAACCAGACAGAGCTGGGACCGCGACTTTGTAGACTGTCGCGAAAGCGCCATGGCCGATGCGATTCAGCAGCGTGTAGCCTCGGCAGTTTGGCCCGGCGAGTGCGACCCAATTTGAGGGGGTGCGTTGCGAGGACCTGTACCTGCCTCACCTCAACAATTCAAGGCACGAGTGGTCCAAATGAATTGGAGCCTTTGATGGCTTGTCCTTCTAACGAAATAACGGGAAAACCAGCGATTTGTTGGGGTGCACACAGTACATAGTCTTCCTCAAAAAAGAAGAATAAACGTATTGAACAGTCGCGTTGATCAACCCCCACTTTCTCCCTTGAAACGCGAAATTGTCTCTGCAGAATGCATTTGTTGGAAGAATCTAAAGAGGTGCCCATTTCGACGTCGCATGACAACCGCTATGGTGTTCGCGGTGGTGTGGTTTGTGGAGCGCTGAAGCTCTTGCCAAGGTGTTTTTCTTGTTCGATCCATATACTGACAACCTCCATCAAGGTTTGATAGCACGCGCAGGTCTCAAAAGTTAGGGCGTCGTTGTTTGGAGGTGTCTCCATCATTTTATTCAAGGCTCAGAAAGTTCATTTTTTCTGGCCAGTCAACTCACCAGGCTTGGATGATAACATTTGGCAATCCTTGTCCGCCGGCATCCCTTTTTACAATGTTGGCTGAGTTGTTGACTGAAAGTGCTGCTACATCTTCATGGAGCAATGCCCCAATCGCTTCGTATTTGTATCATCCATTCGTATGAACACAGTTACATGTAACATGTGGGGCTGAAAAATCGTCCCACATTGCAAGTAGGGGCATCCTCCGTGTTATTTTTAGAGCTGCACGTTTGGAGTGCACTGATCTGTTTCGAGACGTTCAGTTGATACTGCTGGGTCTTGTGTTACTGTTGCCCCAAAATGACCCGCAACTTGTCCCACCTAGTGGGAAACGTGATCCTTTTCGTGGTTCTCCAACCAATGGTCATCCCATGTATCACGGACCTTTTGATCGACTTTAAGTGACCTGGTTTGGTCAACTCTTGCCATCGCTCGCTCGCTGCTGCCGAAGGCGCCATCTGCGTTGCTCGGCCACTTGGTGGATGAAGACGACTGGGACTCCGTCGGGGGCAACCCCTCCATCGCCGCGCCTCGAGGGCCAACAACGTTCCCTTCCTTTGCTTTTCTTTTTTTGTTGGGGGGGTGGGGGGGGAAAGGAGAAAGGGGGAGCGTTTTCTTTTTTTTCTGAAGGTACCCCTCTCTTTTGTTTGTAGTTTTAGAGGGAAACCAACTTCTTCTTTCTCTACCCCTTCCCTTTCTTGGTAGTTTTAGAGGGAAACCAACAGGAGAACCCAAGCCGTTTTGGGGGGTCCGCATCCTGGAAAGAAGACCATTTTGCGGGTCCTTAAGGAAGGCAAGCTAAAAGGACCCAGATGCCTGTAGGGTGTTGGTCAATAGAATGATGCAAAACATTCAGTTGCTTCGGCTAAGAAGCAAAGGTCAACTAGTGGCAGCTCTTGTCCGCACCAAAAGGTGTAAACTTTCTCAGCATCTGCAGTCGCTCCTAGCCATTAGGGGGCAATATCAATGCGTCCCTGGCATGTTGGACGCGCGGGACTTCTAGTGGAGCCAGTCCAAAACGGTATGACATGCGGCCGTGCGCAAAAATCGGCTCGCGTCACCCGACGCGTCTTCCTTCAAGAGGTTGCGGGTGAAGCTGTTTTACACATTGTTAGTCACATGGACCGATTTCTGATCCATCCTAGTGAATCGGTTGGAGATCCATGTTGCACTTTGGGGCTGACTTGGCTAAAGACCTCTTAAGCAGTTCACCAGCCAACCAGCCAACCAGCCAACCAGCCAACCAGCGAATCAAACTAGACAAATATCGCCAAATCCTTTGCATAAAGCAACAACATGTATATTCGCCCAGTCGCGGACCATCTAAAACCTGAAAAAACTTAGAATATCTTCAAGCAAACATGGACGTCCGGAGCCAAAACCTCCCGCTCTGTGTTCGCTTCCGCCTCGTGTGCTCAAGAGGCCGCGGCTGCCAGGCTGAGCCAAACAAGATCGGCCGCCGGGGCCGTTTTCAGATTCCCTGCAAGTCGAAACGTGGGCGAAACGGAAACTCCCACGAAGCAAAAAAAAAAAAAAAAAAACGTTCCATGAGGGACTTCCCCGGCCAAAAAGGAGGTTGTGAACGACTGTGCAGGGCTGGGGGCAAAAAAACTTGTGGCTCGCTTTTCGGGCGACTTGCATCCATAAGTTTATGATGTTCGCATCTCCTCTCGCCCAATTGGCAAGGTCTGTTCGAGGATCAGCAAGGGTGGCCTATGTTGAGCCAGAAGTAGTGGTATGTCTTGATCAAGCGCGGGTCTCGGGGCGGTTTTCACAGAGAGCCGACACGAAATTGACCGTTGTTTGGCGCACACACACACACACACACACACACACACACCATCCTCCCAGGTGCCACCCCCAAGCTAAGTAGCACAACTTCAGTTTGACGCTTCCCACCGTCACAAAGAGGCACAAGAAATTGTCCACCCGAAGGGCAGCAGGTGTGTGCCAAAGCGCTACTTTAGCGAACGCATGAGACTTAAGACTTTCTGCCTGTGGTGATTCCGTGAATCAACCATGTGAGTTTGGCTTTGTTTGGGGGAACCCCCCCCTTTTGGGCAAATCAAATGGAAAAAAATATTGCGCCATTTTTGGCGGGGATCCCCCAAAAAAAGACGAACCCCCCCCCCCCGGTCAAAGCGGCGCTCTCACACGCCGAATGCGCCGGCCACCTCTCCGGCGCCCGACTCGCCCGACTCTTCGGCGCCCCGGCTGCACTTGGATCAGCGCCCCCTCCTCGGCTGCCTCCACCGCGGCGGCGATGCTCGGCCACTGCGACGGCACTACCTGGCGCATCGCTCGACGCGATGCGACGCGACGACCGATGGGATGGATCGGTGCTCGATGTTTTCTGTTTTGCTGTGGTGCTTCGATGTTGTTGGTTTCCCCCCCCCCCGGATTTTTTTAGCAAGCATAGCATCTGTGGGAGGGTAGCTGGAAGATTGCTGTCACGTGCCATGGCAACGTGGGATGAGGGTAACTGGAAGTCCCCAATGGCTTCCTTTTTGGTTGCCCGAGGGGGCCATGTTGAGAAACTGTCTGGGCAGGGCTGCAATGTGGTACAGTCCCAGCGCTGACTGCAAAGCAGCGGAAAGCAAGCACACGTTCACCGCTGCAGAAGACAAAAGGGTTCCTTTTGCGCCGCAGAAACCTGGCGCGCCCAAGTGGGGGAGAAGGCTAACGCAGACATAATGAAACCCCATTTCAGGGTCCGCATGAGGAGTCCAAAATCTCCGCTCGGGAAGCACCAGCGCCCCAAGCCAACAACAACGTGCTGAACTTCGTGCTTGAGCCGGTGCTTTGCCCTCTCATAAGTTATCCGTTTTTCCTCACTACCTCGACTTTTTGAATCTGACTCGTGAGAGGGAGAGAAGATTGTGCAACGTGCACTGCTGCGATTGGGGAGTGGCGAGCGTTCCTGCAACGGGTACTCTTTCATACGGAGTCCTGAGATCTTGCAGTTTTGCTTCCAGATGTGTGAGTCCTCTCAGGACTCAATCTCTTGGAAAGATTGAGGCGCTTTTCTTCCAAACCAAGGAACACCAAAGCAATCTACCCCGGTGCAAAACACGCCACTCGCGAAACATGCACAAATCTGCTCCCCTTACCTTCATGGGCGGTTTAAAAATGCAAAATCTACTCACCGAGAATATCACCTACATGGGGCGGCTTGGGGATGGGAACCCCAGCTTGTACCTGGGTCAGGGCCCTTCTATACAACGCTGGGAAGCAAATCCTGAGGTAATCATAAGCATGTCTACCTCTTTTCCTGTGGTAAACCATCCTATCATGCCTATGCCATCCCCCCCCCCAAAAAAAAAAGAAAGAGAAAAAAAACGTGCCGGCGGCCGGCCTTCAGCGGCACCCCCTCGGGCACCTCCTCGGCGCCGGCAGGCGCGGGGGGAAAAATATATATCGAAAACGGGCGTCTCGGCTTGTTGGAGGGGACCCAAAAGCTTTCGGTCGGGTTTTATAACGGGGAACCAAAAGGAAGACCGAAGCCGTTTTCCGAATCTTTCTTTTGGGGGGATTTCTTTCTCTTTCTTTTGGGGGGGATTGTCTTTCTCTTTCTTAGGGGGGATTTTCTTTCTCTTTCTTTTGGGGGGATTGTCTTTGTCTTTCTTTTGGGGGGGGATTTTCTTTCTCTTTCTTTTGGGGGGGGATTGTCTTTCTCTTTCTTTTGAGGGGGATTGTCTTTCTCGTTCTTTTGGGGGGGATTGTCTTTCTCTTTCTTTTGGGGGGGATTTTATTTCTCTTTCTTTTGGGGGGGATTTTATTTCTCTTTTTGGGGGGATGTTCTTTCTCTTTCTTTTGGGGAGGATTGTCTTTCTCTTTCTTTTGGGGGGGATTGTCGTTCTATCTTTTTTTTGGGGGGGGGATGCGAATCCTAGAAAAAAGACACACCCAAATAGCTCAGGTGATATCATCACCTCGGACCCATCTGAGCAAAGACGCATAGCTTTCAGCGGTGCCGCTTTCGCGTTTTAGTGTAAGGCCCGACAGCCGCTCGTTGACCCGAGAGCTTTACACATGTTCCAAGCTTACGTTGGAACCAACTGTGGGATCCCTCGCTCAAGGGAGACAGGCTCCCAAACAGTGCCCTTGCTGGCCCAAAAGATCCGTGAAGGAGGCATAATCTATTGACTCCTCCTAGAAACATCCTTGCCATTGTCTAAATTCGTAAGGGTTCCTATCCCTATACAAGCAAAGTGGGTTTTCACCGCGGCACACTGCCGGTTCTTGTCAAGACCTGTCCCCAAGCGCCGCCTTTCTCTGCTCTTCGCACCTCGCCATGCACGCCTCGCGCTCTCGCAAGGGGCCATGGAAGGACCTACCACTGGACCATCTCTTGCAGGCCCTGCAGGCCCTGCAGGGGGGTACTGGTTTAGAGCAGCTTCTTTTTCTTCGACCAGAGGCCGACCACTTCCGTCGGTTCAGTGGGCTCAGGCCGATCCAAGGACCGAGATCTCAGACCGTGAACAGCGCCGCGTGCTTCTCCTGAGCCTGGCAAGGGGGGCTTCACAAAAAGAAAGGCTCCGCTTACGGAAAAGCTCAACAACCAGGGCGGAAAAACAAAAAGTGGCTTCGCCTCAAACATCCGTCTGCCAACACGGTTTTTGGAACCTGAAACTTGTGGCAGTCGCATGTTGGCGGAGAAAGAAACATGCTTGCTAAGTAAGTGTGTGCTTTTGCCGACCCTTTCGGATAGGGTGAAGCCTAACTTACAGGCGGACTTGAGCGCTCGCAAGGAAAATAATCCTGGGCATGGGGGGAGGTTAAGGGATTGGGGGCGGCAAATGCGCCGAGGTTTTTCCATGCTCGGCACCTAGTTGGACTGAAGACTTGGATCTTTCCCGATTGGGCGCCGCACCTCTAACTCCCGTTCTCTCCAATCCATGCGTCCTCAACAAAAAACCAAACCACCGACTCACCGCCCCTTGCCTGCCTTCTGAACACAACATTTCAAGCAACGGACTGCTACAAGAATTGTTGATAGAACTTTTCCTAGGACCCCCCCAAACAGACCCCCCCCAAACACAATTTTCTCAAAAGTGGTCTATTTGTAGCCTTTCCCAAAAGTTTGCTTTTTGCTTGGGGGGGTGGGGGGGGAAGTGTTTGGGGGCCCGGTCCGCCTGGGGTGGCTTCGAGTCTTCACCCTCGCCTCCCGGTAGAGCCGCGTCTCCATGGGCTCCTCCGCCCCCACCTTCTCCCAGCGCCCAGTTCCTTTGCACGCGGCCTCGGGCGCTGGAAGGAAGCGCGCCGAAACGTGCGGAAGGGACGGGGAAGCGATGAGTCGAGCCTCCCAAACAATTTGTGGAGGTTGTATAGGGCGCTGGGAAACGGGGAAGAAAAAGGAGCAGCTTTCTGTTGGAAGAGTTTTTGTTTAGCTGTGCTTGTTCAGGCATGCGCTCATGGGGGAAACAACCCCATTGGGAGGGTCTAAAATGAGGGAACTCTCAAGATGGATGCTGTACCATGTTTACTCCTTCCCTCGAGTCCTCAAATGTGATAGGCAAATTCACCCTGCTGCGTCCCATCCCCACTCTGCTGCACCAGGCGGCAAGCTTCAGCTTGGGGGCTTCCAAACTGGGTCCTGCGATCGCTCAGGCGATGGGGAAAAAATATTGGGCAAAGCTGAGTTACCTGGCACCACCGGTCTCTGGGACCCCGACCCAGGAAATCCCTTGCGAGTCTGCAGCTGACTTTCCCCCTCTCCCGTTCTGCTTTAACGTGGACAGCTGCCACGTTGCTCACTGATGCATGCCATGCCCCGTCTCGCGATGCCAGAGATCCCCAGGCCCTGCCTAGTTGCATCATCCCGCCCTTCTTGTCAACGATGAGGCACTTCGCCTGCACGAGCCAAACGGCGAGAAACGTGCTACGAGCCAGGTGCCAAATGTTCTCTCACGCCTTCCCTCATAAACTACAAAACTTCGCCTCCCAATACCCCCAAGAAAGTTTCCAGATTCCCAAGAGGCAACTTACACCTACCAGGGCATTTTCAGGTTTGGGGGGTTGGAGGTATGAAGGTTCTGTACTCCAAAACCCATACCTGCACATGGCTCTCTTTTTTTTAGGGTCAACTTGCAAAACGGTTTTTTCCTGGTCTCCCTTTGACCCAATACAAGAGTTGGCACTCCCAAAAAAAAGACGAGCCCCAAAAAAAACGCCCCCCCCCCAGGTTGTTCGGAGCGAACCACCCCCGAGGGGAAAAAAAAAACGGGATGCATGGCCTGGTTGCCGCTCCCAAAGGCCAGCTGCGCTTTGGCTCCTGGCGGAAATCGGCGACGGCGAGAGATTTCTCGCGGGAGGGTTTTGGGTTGGACCCCCCCAACACAAAAAAAGAAGAAAAAGACCCCAGAGTCCAACAGAAAATCCCTCAGATGTTTTCTATCACAGAATGCTGGTGCTTTCCACGATCGAGCCACGGTTGGAGGTTCCCTCGAAAGGGAAATGGAGGGAACACTCAGCCAGGTGACAGAGGGGGCCCCATCGGGACGAAAGGGCAGCCTCTCAGACCACTCACCGCTCTCCGTGAGACAAAACCGACCGCGACCCCTCGAGATTCAGTCCTGAGCCGTCCTGAGCGTAGGCGCGCAGCGCCCAACACGGGTACTGAAAACTGCCATGTCCCTAACCAGAACTCCGGTCGCTGGCTCCGAAAGCCTCCCTCTGGCCACCCAAAGCTATGTAAAGAATTGAAAGGGCGGAACTCCGCACCTGTTTATGGCCTTCATCTACCCAGGCGTTTGATTGGGCTGTGACCCACTGGAACATGCCTGATGTGGTCGCCTCCTTCACCGGCCAGATCAGGTCGCGAGGGTCAAAACTCGGGCTGTCGTGGATCCATCGAAATCCTTCTGCTTCTCTCTCCCCAAATGAAGCGACCATGATCTAGAAACCGAGGCCTTTTGATCAAAGTAACCTGAATCCTGACTGAGGCTCACTCAAAAACTGAATCGTCACATTCAAAGTAATGTGATGAAGGCGTTTGTATAAAATGAATTGTAACATCCCCATCCCCAGGAAAAACATCCTTTCAACATTTCAAGCAAGCACCCCTTCAACACCCAACCCCCCCCCCCCCCCCGCCGCGCTCCCTGGCTCAGACTACAAAAACCATCCAGCTCGCCCTTTCGCTCCGAGCGGCGTCCGGCAAGAGGCGCCAGGGCGGCACCTGGCGCCCCGAGACGTCGCAGACCACCGTGCTCACGCTGCCCTCCTCGCGCTTCGCGCCCCTTTAAACACAATGAGGGAACCAGTGGAACTCCGAGAAAATTCAGGATGT